CTCGCCTTGTTGAAGCGTGTTCTCCGATTAAACCGGAACCCGAAGTATTCCACCCCACCTCCCGCCGCCTTATTGTATTTGAAGACATTCACTTTGACCAAAGTGGAAGTAATCGGGATCGTTTCTCTCGCTTATGCTTCCTGTTACCGTAAGACAACTCCGTATTTCGTGATCATTCTCAGATCCGGTATACTCATCTCCCTCTCTCTCTTGATAAATCGAAGCATCCCAGGTTAAAAAAGTGAGTACACTACCCATCTAGCCACCGGGAAGCTTGTTTTGGTTACCTATGCACCATATAGTAATCCATCTATGCAGGCTTGTTGTCGGTAGCTCAAGCGTTCCAACTTCTTGCTGGCCTCCAGGCTGACGATTCGATGATGAGCATTCCGAAGGTGACTCAAAGTCAAAGTTTTATTATGAAAATAACTCACAAGCTCGTGTTTCTCTTGTCCCCATAGGATATTTACACATCTGAATTGCTTCACACCGAAAAATAAGTCACATAGAGCTCCAGGTAGGAGATAATAAAGAATTTAGGCTTCGATAAATTTGCGTTGGCTTTTCGTGGTGTAGGACTGTAAGGTGTACCAAGGTTTCATCAAGTCTCTGCTTGAAAGATTCAATAGTAGGTGCACGAGCGACGTGAGATGGAGGGGCATTCCAAGTACTGATACTATGACTTCAAAATATTGGTACCGGCATTCCAGTCGACACTTAGGTATCAGTAACTTGAAACGGTGTCCCCGTCTGTGAGAATTACTGGATTTCTTAATGTAATACTCCGAATGTTTTCTGTGAAAAAAATCAATTGAGAGGTGATGCATACATCAGTGAAAGGTGTTTTTATTCCAAATGCGTGCTACCTGTCTATTAGAAAGGCAAAAAGATCGTTTTTTTAAGTAAAGAAACCAGTGCTATTTCAATCTCCCACAATGTTGTATGTTATAGCTTGCTGCATGTACTCCAGCTTCCGGAATAATTTAGTCTTAAATGACACTCATTGAGAAACAGTGGCACTCAAAAGGCCATGCATAAGTCCCCAGTTCATATCCTCTAAAGTAGTTGAATGCATATCACAGAGCATGAAAGTTTTACCTAACTCTTTATTTTGAACACAACCTCCCCGTTATCAGGCCGCTATTATGTGCTTAAACTTGCAAATATTTCCTGACCGTTGCTCACTAGCAGCGACAATTAATGGGATAGCTCACCTGTGTCAATTTTTATCGAGTTATTTCAAATCCTTCTGTCACTCGTATGGCATGACTGGCCTGAAAAGGGATTCAACTTTTACCAGGATTGGTAATGTAAGCGTGCAATCCGCAAATAGCCTGAGTGAGGTCTTTGCTTGAGGGTTATGGGCACACGCAAGCACGCACGCTAGGACAGGTTTCCATTCCAAAACCCCTTAACTTGACACTATCAGATGAACAGTAAGCTAGAATTTAACAGACCACAGTGAAAGTTAAAATGCTAGGTTGTTCTAATGTTGTGTTCCAAGAAGGTTAGTGAAGTCGAATTTACACTGTGCGATTTGCACAAAACCCTCCCTTTTAGTTTTATCACTTAATTTTGTTAGCCTTTGCGCACAAAGGCTTCGAATCCGGTTCTATTTGGAATGAAATGGCGAACTGTAATTATACAAACAAATTCGCGTGTCGACAAAAAACCTCTAAACAGTAGTCCTGTGCGTTAGGCGCACGGTCAACATTTACAAGCAAATTCCAATGATTCGCTCGCCCGCGCGCGTGTGAGAGAGAGAAAGAGAAAGCGTACTTTTTCGGTTCTCCTTATACTGACTCAGTATATCAGGCCACTTTGGACACAGTTCTACTCTGTCTGGCGTGGACAAAACAGGACAGTTTTCTGTTTGAAACAAAAATCTGCGGAATTTTTACGCTTCGCAAGTCTACCGAAACACAAAAATGTCATTTGGCCGACTGGACTCTGACCGGTGTTTTGTCAACCGAACAGGACAGGTGTCATGGACGACACCAAACACGAGACCAAAGCAGCTTGACGTCGAGGTAGCACGAGGACAGTGTTTATCAATGATCTAGTCGGTATTTTTTTCTCAGTTGTGGAAAGTGATGGTTGCGTAATATTTTCGCAAAGTAAACGTATTGTTAGATATTATGAAGGTTATTTCAGAAAGTAGAAATGTGTAAACTACGAAATAAGGACAGGTTTTTTGAGGGTAAAGAATGTACTAGAAGGGGTATAATCAGATTATTCTTGAAGGGGAATCAGCGAGTAGCAACTTATATATCAGCACTTCATTATCAAAATAAACGACGTCACTGTATTATTTTAACGCGCCTGTCTGTCAGTTGAATGATATAAATTCAACACAAGATTTATCGCGGTTTGCGTTTTACCAAACTTGAAACTACTTCATGTCATAATAATGACGTTTATCGAATGTTCTTTGACCGGAGTAGTAGTAATGGTTGAAGTTGATCATGTCTCATTCCAAGTAAACGTTCATCAAGTTATTATAAAAATTTCAAGCCCAGATGAAGTATAACTTCAGGTTCACACACCAGTTCTGGAGCTGCTGTGTTCACCGTGTCGGCTTTCGTAAAACAGTAGTTTGGAGATTGTGAGTTTTACTTGTGTCGCTGTCGTCCACTCCGTCCTGTGTCTACAGTTCATTAAACAAGCTGTGATTGAACGTAGTTCCCTGTCGAATAATGTCTGTGCAATGGCATAATTATTAAATGAAATGAAAACCAATTGGCTATCAATAATAGTTCTGCTGTTATTAACATGGATTCTGTTAATCGCATTCACTGAGCGTGGCAAATAGGCTTTGAGTCAAGCGATGCTGATGTAAGGCGAGCTACTTTGGACCGAACCGGATAGATTAAGAAGTGCGTAGGCTCATAGCGTGTTGAAATGTTCACATATGTATTTGAATACCTGTGGGTTTCAGAGATTTGCATTTTTCCTACATTTTCTAATTTGTATAAGTGAACTGCATTGTTGTGTCCAAAACGTTGAAGTCGTTGGGTGATGATGATTCTAGTTAGATCTCCATGACAGTAATGGGGGGAGGAGGTTATTTCAATATATAGTGAATTTCACCGTGAACTGAAATGTCAGGATGTTCGTGGCATCTGCTCTGACCTTATTATTGGGTCTTATCAGCAGTGAAAATGTACCGTTTCAAAGGAGGATTGATTCCGGGACCTCATCGGTAGAAGATAAACGTACTATGCATTTAATCCATTTCCTTGCGACAGACTTGTGCAGAGATGGTTCATGCGATATGGTGTATATCAGACCAGATGAAATTTAGTATGATCAAATGCCCGGTAGTCAAGTGGATAATCTGCTTGTGGTTTACACATGACTTCAGGTGTGTGTGGGGGGTCACTGGGTATGCACGTCTAATCAAACAAAATCAGACTAAGACAGGATTCTATATTTCGTTAGCAGATCAGATATCTGCAAAACCCTTCGGAAATAATTGGAATCAGTCTGTAAGAGGCGATATGATTTAAAATTGCTCCAACCTGTTTTATCCGGTAGACTAACACCGATTGCACTCATAGAATATTCATCTGAAACGTCACTCTGACTGGTGATGGATGAATCCTTCGTCCATACATACAATGCAGCTTGTTGAGCAGGCAAAATAAAATCACTAGGTCTGTGAACGTACCCTTGGCTTTTAACTTTAATGTTTCGCCTTAATTGGCCCTTTTCACTTATTCAGTCTTCGAGTATGCAGCAAGTTTGTTGATTTCCGGGGTGACTGTTCAGAGTTTCAATGCACCCCTTTGATTGGAGTCCAAAATGTAACTTTTCTGAATCTGTGTGGCAGAACCAGTGGCTTGACCATTGCTGTCCACTAGCCTACAGATCACGCCAAGGGCGTAAAATCCTAAACACTCCTGTGTTGGTAGTTTCATTCCGCATAATTAGTATAGTTATTGCGATACCTACTTATCTACTATGCGCTACTTGTGTTTTGGAGTCAATCAGCCACACCTCTTCTAATCTCCTCATACGGTGCCTATCATGATGCACATTTATCATTGTATGTCCGTTTCTCCAACACGAGAAAGACAACAACCTGACATCTCCATTTGTGCCAAAGCGTTTCTACCCACAGGACGCATAACAATATCACTTGTCTTTCAATACTTAAATAAGATTCCTGTATGGAGGTGATGTTTTCAAATGTCTCCGTGGTTTGCTTCCTATGGGCATACGTTAAGAGAGCGCAAGCTAACCTATGATTAAATTTAATACCATGCACATGGGATCTCGAAAACAGGTTTCATTTCTCACTTAGATTTATACAGTTAATCTTGAAAAACGGAATCACAAAAATAGATTTTTGACAAGCAACCGTGACCTAACAATTCACGTCCAAATTGGTTCACATTTTCTGGACACAACCGAGCTTTGCTTCTGGTGTACATGATCACAGGTGAATTTAGTGAAATCAATCATATTTGTTCAAACACTAACTAGTGCATACGTAATATACAGGATCGATTAGTACCAACCGCCCACCGATAAATTCATTAGGCGATATGAAAATGCTAAACCACTTCGTATTTTGACCAGAAACAGATGCTATGACTGTGAACAGGACTGTAATGAAATTTAATTAAACCTATTCGAAGGTGTTTGTAACAATATTAGGAACCAGTCTTACGGAACAAATTGGTCACTTCGTAATTTGATCACAAAATTTCAGTAAAACATCACAAAGGCAAAGATAGATCAGGTTCACTCGCATAAGATCAAACTGTTTGTTCATCGATCGAACTGTAAAATCTTGAAAATACTTTAGTAGACAAAGGTTTAGCTAAACCGACAGAGTATGGCATGACCACTAAGCGCAATGATATAAGGCCAAGCATGAAAATGAAAATAACTAATTAACTATGAATAATGGCATGTGGTTTTCAGTAGTCATTAAATTATTCAGCAATTATACCTGCTCTCCGTGATGCCAATCACGGAGGAAGGGAACTCACTTCACCCAGATGACCTGCGGTGGCTGCCATGGCCAAAAGATTTCCCGAGCATCGTTGGATGACGAAACGTATCGATCCAAGTTTGGTCCGTCTGAATATTCGATTACTCCCTTGCACCGCTTCCAAATAGACGGATCGAATGATTGGGGCAGCATTCAAATGACTCAATCCATACAGGGTATGATCATTGACCTGTTGTGGTTTGAATGGGCAGCGACAGTAAAAATAAAATACGCATTTTACTTATTGGAAACACAATCGATGAAAGGAATTCAATAGTTGGAAATACTTTTTTTATATTTTCCAACCCTATTGACTTCCGCCCAAGACCACTGATCTAATAAGGAACCAAAAGCTAATTGTCGGACAAAAAGGTGTCAATGTGTTCAGTCGAGCACTCGAAACCTACTACCCACATTGAGATATCTAATAGAAGTCACCAACCAAGATCATTTAGGCGTCAGCGACAGACACTCAATGGGGCATGTGAGAGGGAGTTTTGCTGCGCTTTTTCAACGAATTTCGTCTTAGACAGTGCTAATTTGGATATAACTGCGCAGCTGTTTCCACATTCAGTAGGTGTGTCAAAGAAAAGTATGAACACGTGAGCAGTAGCAATTCCCAACTTCTTTGTCCCGTTTTTTACTTAATTTGAATGGGGTGGGTGAATTGCTGGATTGATTAGAATTACCGATCTCTTGTGTACCGCGGATATTCATGCGTTTGGTATGGACCGATCAACGAAACCTTTAGTGGGGGTTATATTATTCAATACTCTGGTACCATACACGTTGAGGCCTCTTACTAAAAGACTGTTTAACTAACGGATTCCGCCTCACTGCAGCACAAATGTGAGGAATACTGATAATGAAATAAATCGGATAATTGGATTCAGTTCGCAGTACAATTTTAATGAATTTGAAATCAACTTTTCTACCTATACAGTAACGTTCACCACACTTTATTTTTTCTCCACATGCCTAGCAAAATCAATACATTCCCGCATTCCGAAAGGAAGATGCATTACTTCCAAAATGAAAAAACAATTTATAAGTGGGATGATCACACATTTGCGTAGCACATCGTTCAGCTGTGGGCATTTGTTTCTCGTAGGTTTTGTGTATATTTTTATCGATTCCTCTAAAACGTGGAACGCGCCTTATATTTAAATAATCAAATAAAAAACCGCAAAGAACACTGCTGGTTGTATATATTACCCATATGTCTTCGTGACTTAAATGGGTGGTGCATGGTAGGCCTCATTTAGCATATTTTGACGAAGGTGTGTGTATGCGCACGTGCATGTGTGTGGGGGACATAAACTCACGGGAACGAGGCAAAATTTCTGAACACCATCGTGTTCATTATTTGAATACAACCATGGAAAATGTTGGCGTCAGTGGTGTTAATCATAGATAGTATCTGCATTTACATTTTACCTCATACGTTGCGGTCCAGCAAGACAACCCTGTTTCCCGTGACTTGAGGAACCCATTGTAAAGACCGTACAATTATATTACTAATGGGAAAATCGTGGGAGAAAAAACGAGTGTGATTAGATATATCTTTAATTTGATATAGGGATCAAACCGATTAATGATGTTAAAGTAAGATTCAATCATTGTGCCTGTTTCTGATCGCAGAAACAAAATATGCCTCACCCAGGTCCGACAAAAGATAGAGTCCCTTGTTGTTCCATGGTCATCCATTAACACTAAAGTGACATAACACCCGTTACAAAGTGAGTGTCAAATCTCTTATACGTTCTATTTATTCGAGAAATATGGACTGTACTATATCGTGCAAATAGAAAATGAAAACGGTCTGATCAGCTGCACGGTGACCGAGTGGGTAGCATGCTTGCGTTCTACCTGTGAGGACTCCGGTTCGATACTAGTTTGGTCGATGGATTCGCACTGCTGAAGAGACCTAATCAGATGGATACATATATCCAGTGCGTCCTAGATTTTCAGTTTACGCTTCATTTGCCATATACACGACAAATTCACCTGTGAAATTGAATCAGATCCCCCATTACACACATGAATGCACACTACATTTGCAGAATGATTTGAACTCTGATATACCCCATAGAACAAAATCCGTACACACGCCATTCTTGTTTACCACATGGATTCAGGTCACCACACAGATCCAATGAAGCAATCAGGTTCATCTCCCATTGATTCAATACGTCCAATGCACACACTGGTAACCGTCAAAACTACTAGAACAACAGTTTGACCCTTGACCTTTGTCTTGTTCAGATCCGCCAGCAAACATGGTTTAACTCCATACAGCCACAGAATCAAACACGACGACAATAAAGTGACAACAATGACATATTCATTCACAGACTAATTATTATCAAATATTCTACCAAGACCATCAGGTCACGTTTGTTGCGGTTAGTAGCATCTAACCCACTTACAAAACATCGAATAATAGCATTGATTCTTCATTGGACTGGCTTTGAAAGAGCTGTCTATCCAATGGTCATCCGGCGTTGCAAACAAGGTTATTGTGACGAAAATAAACTTCCTGGGTACAAGTATATGAATGAACTGACAAAAGATTACCGGATACGCATGCCTGACGAGCGCAAGAACCGCGAAACCGGCCGTGTGCTTCCAGGGAAATTTTGTCCAGTCATTCACATACTACTTATTACAACAAATATATATATATATATATAGGGTTTCAAGTTTCAGCAATTTCCATTTCTTTACAAATCGAACAAAATCCCTTTACACTACATCAACGTTTGCCCACTGAAGCACGCACCAAACACTGTGACATGAAAATGGACAAGTTTTCGATAGGCCTAGCATTCACTACGTTGAGTTGTGCTAATTCGCATCGAGCTTTTGTATGATCACTCTTGACTTCCCTTTCCGGCCCATCAGTTTTCCCCTATTTTTTTCAAATTAATACGATTTCATTGCCGTATCGATAATTGGAACACTATCTCGTTAAATTCGATCAAGCAATCCAATCTCAATTGGAGTTATTTCAATTCAATTCCCACCTGAGTCAATTGATTTACGGAATTCCGCTCCTTTATGAAAACCAACCGCTTGAGTCGGAACATCACTTCTAGAGAGTAGTTTTAATGCACCACTGAATCACATGGTCACTCGCTCAAGGAAAAGTCATATTATTGAGATTGGAACTTAGAATCCGCGAAAAGAAACATTTTCACTCTTTTTATTTTCCACGTATTATAATCACTGGCAGAGTAAAAACTATTTAGCAATCTGTGCTGGTCGGGATGGAAAAATTGAGGCAGTAGGGGTGACTAAAATTGTATCTCCCATTCATTCCCGGATAGTGAATTCGAATAGCCTGGTTTCAGTCAAGGATGGTCCAATGCTTGAACTCATGTTCCGTTCTGTTCAGCCCTAAGTTGACCAATGATTGTTGCATCAGTCGTTTCTGGATCAACGTTGAGATGCGGTTTGGAATTCATTTGGTCACAGTGGCTATTGACTTAGTGTCATCCAGCTGTTCTGCTTCCATCAGATGAACTACAAATGACCTCGAGACAGTCATCTTTCCTTCATCATACCATGAATGGGATATCTACCTAAAAATGGTCTTACTAATCATGTGGATGGAAAACACTCCCGCCGATCCAGAAATGGATATGCTTGGTATCGCAGCTTTCGACAATGAAATGCACGCATTCGGGAATCGTATTGTTAAGGCGAAAAAAAGACTGTGTATCCTTGGGTAGCGTTGAATTAAATAGAATGAATCTAACAGTAAAGTTATGCGCACAAAATCCGCTTGTAAATGCTACGTTCTATAACCAAGGAGTTTCGATTTCATCTCTTTCAATTTGTATCTTGGATTATAGAAAGACCGTTATTCAGAAACATCAGTGAACAGTATCCTCGGCTATCACGAGACGGATCAAAAGAAAGTCTGTTGAAGTCCAACTATTTTCCACATACTGGAAACCGGATACCCGGTACACACCAACACCGTATATCGCCTTCCACGATGTATATGAAAAGCGATTACCGTTGGAACATTTATAGACAACCGGGACTTCTATCAGCCGTTTACTCAGCACTATACAAAGAAACTAGATTTAAAGCCTTCAGTTTACCGGGTCGAACTCGGATCATTACCGCTATGGTTGTAATCATACTGTGAGCTAGTTCAATTCTGTTTCTTAAGCCGAAATTCATTCTCCCCCAAATTACGTGAATGAATCTGAGACACCTTAGAGTTCACTACCTACGCATCCATTTATCTAAAATCGAGCGATTAACAATTCATTAAAGTAATTTTCATTATTTTAATTAATACTGTCCTGCAGTGTACCACATGCACCTCATAATAGACGATCAATGCGGGTATCGATCGGTATAACCGCTTTTGTATGGTCGCGGCTGACCGGTCGTATTTGATACAGGTTACCAATGCTCGTCAATTTTCCAGTCCACTTTCCTTGGCTCTGTGGACGACAACATTCGTTATTAAAACTGTTTTCACTTGAGCAAGACGGATGTGTCGATATCTTTGAAAGAAAAAATAGACATACAATTTTTACTACGGAAATCAAGTTCAGATGGGTGAATATTCCGGGTGACATACATCTATGTGCACACCGATCTAATGGGAAGCGAATTCACTTGTATACAGGCATCAGCTTCAAGTATGGTTTTAGCTAAATATATTGTTTCCCCATGTTTTACTGTCTGTTCCAGATCAAATCATTTGAAACATACATGAAACGTGAATTGCACGCGATAATTTCGTCATCCACGACCCATTTAATTTGGAACATGTCTAGATCAACGACCTATTTCGGATAGGTTTGTTCGTAATTGTCCAAGCAGTCGGTGATTCAGCGATGTCCAATGTTTCATTGCTCCTGCATTTGAACCCCGCCACCACAATTTATACAGTGTAATGGAACGTCACCATCGTACCGTTCTCCTGCATTTTGATTGTTCGTTTATCGTATGTCCGGCCGACATATTGGCATATTATTACTAACTGGGTAAATCTCTCTCCGTTCTGAAGTGGTTCTGAGACGTGTGGAACTGACTGCACATCGCGCACACACAGGTATTTCTTACATATCCCCCTCCTCTTCGGATAAGATGACCATTGAGTATAAGTAGAGAAAACCCTAGTCAAGCAACATCTTAGAGTGATTTTCATCAACATTTTTGTCC